CTGACTATTCCTAAAGTTAATAAGAAGCTGAAAATAAATAAATGACAGCTTTGTTTAAGTTTTATGCTTTACACATTGAAAATCAAACCCCTGTTTTACGTTGCTTTTCCATTTCCTCTAGAGGCTGTTAGGAAGGTGTTCGTACAGCTGGCCATGAGTAGCTTCGCTGGATTTCCTAACCTTGCGAAAACAGCCAAGGTAGTCTGAACTTCATAATCACATAATGTAATTTGAATTCTATTGTTGATTTTGTTGGCTCTAAAAATGTGATTAGCAGTATTTCTTATTTGTTTGTAGACTGACCAGAATCTTTTTCTTAGGCAAAGATCGAAGCCATAAAACAAGGCAAAGAATCCACTGCTGAATCCTTTCTGAGAACCCAGTTCAAGATGGAGCTGCTTGTTTATTCCCAGGACAAGACCTACAGCTGCAGTTTGAGTGACAGTAAGAAAGAGGAGAATGAGGACATTGATGAAATCGCCATACCAAAACACCCCCAACCTTTTGGATATCAAAGTGTTGTGTACCAAACGGATAATCATGCTACACTTCAGGAGCTGATGTTGCACCTAAAATCATATTACAAAGTAAGCTTTAATATAGCAGGACAATTTAGAAACAAAAAATAAAAACAACATTTTTTAAACACTAATCCTTGCTTCTCAAAATGTTGTAATTTTCTTCCTTCAGATTGCGAGCCAGCGTCTGGCAGACCAGATCCCTATGGTGATCCGTTACCAGATGTTGCAGGAGTCTGCTGTCCAGCTGCAGAGGGAGATGCTGCAGGTGCTTCAGGAAAAGAAGAATTTAGAGTTCTTGTTAAAGGAGGACGCCGACATCGGCAGCAAGAGGGCAGTTTACAGAACCGCCTCAAACGCCTCATGAGGGCCCGTGCATACCTGGTGGAGTTCTAGAAAAGCCTTTTACCTCCTTTTACAGCAGCAAGAATGGTTCATAGGAATTCTAACCTTGGATCCGGTCTCATTTATTTAACCTCAATTCATGCAGATACAAGGTGCTGTTCTCTTGATATGTTCAACTTTATTCAACTAACTTGCTCATGCCCTGAGTCTTACTGTGCACTTGGCCCCCCCCTTGTGGTTTCACAGGGAAATTATGTTTAAAAAAAAACCTGCTTAGAAGCAAAACAAGTTTAAATCCTTGAATATCATGATTTTCATTTACATATTTGGATTTTGTACATTAAAAATGATCAATGCAATTAATTAGCACATGTAGTCTTTCACTCTCAGAAGTTCTGAATTCCAGACTAGTTCGCCACCAATGATTAAGACTTTCTTCTTTCAACCATTAAAGGCAGGGTTGGTAATTTTCTCCAGATACACTCTTCTTTAATAACTTGTTTTTGTAGTAATTTTTTTGAGTGTGACATCTCTTGTGTATTATCAATGTCATTTTAGAGGGTGTTTTATCAGATACCTACGGTAAGTGCATAATCTCAACTTGAGTGACACAAACAGGCATTACATTAATACTACATACACAAACCTAAAAAGTCACCATGTTGGTTAATAAATTTAACGTGCATACGATTTGGGAAGTCAATTTTATTCAAAAACTCATACAAAAAGTAGTCCTACACACATGCACATTTTCTTTTTCTTTTTTAAAGGTTTGATTCATTGTTCTTCAGTCAGTATCTCCACGACTTCATTCATCATTCCCAGCAGGGCTCCCCTGATTGTTGTCGTCATTGTCTGATTTCTCATCATCTGTGACAGACAAAGAAGGTCAGAGAGGTACTTGCAGATTTGCTTGATTTTACAGATTAACCACTTAATATTTGGAATTTCTGGAAGAATGAGCACAACACAAAAATAGCCTTTCAGACCAACGAGCACAACACAGGGACACTCACTATCAAGAGTCTGCTGTAGTTCCTGAATAGTACTGAGTAGCACATGGAACTGCTTCTTTCTCAACTCCATCTACGTAGGAGAAAAAGGAGATTTCAAAATTAGATATCACAAGTGGTTCAAGAAATAACAGATTTGAATCGTAAAGAATAGAATATAGTTTTAGCCTCACCTTTGCATCTACATTTTCCTTGATTTGAGACAGTTGCTGGAGCTCTTTGTCAAGCGCCTCCAATTGTCTGTAGAGGATCAAACAAAATTTTGTACATAATCATAGACAAAACAGGTTAAAAAAAAGGAATACAAATATAATGGAGTGACTTACTTCAGTGTTTCATGTCGGTCCGGGTGTTGCTGGATAACCTTAGCTAAAGCATCATACTCTGAAAGGAAATAATGAAAATGTGAATGTGTGACACTAACCACAAATAATACAACTCTGTATTTATATTGGTAGCATTAAATCTTAACTGACTGATACATTTGGTTTACAACAAGAATGAAAAAATCCCAGCTAAACACTCCAATTCTTTTACCTTCTCTTAAATCTCAAACTGATTTCTCATATTGTTTGGCTTTTGATGCATTGTCTCTCCATCTGTGATCACTCTTTAAATCTCATGGGTATTTTCCTTTGGCTGTTTGTACAATGTGTTGTATACGGTTTGACTTGTAAAAGTACTTGTATGAATTACCATTGAATAAACTTTTCGTGAGCCACAACATTAAATACATCTGATTTTGCTGTTCTGTGTTAAAATTCATGTTTACATTTAAGAAAAACATTAAACCATACTTTTTCAGATTATTTTCAGTAGTGCTTACTCACTATTTTCAAGACTTATCTGAATTAAATTAGTAAATAATTGCAAAGGCAAGTCCCAATAGTTCAATATTATTGATCCTTACCTTGGCGATTCTTTCTTATTCTCTTTGCCCTCTGAATTTCTTTTTTGCATTCGGTTATCTTCTCATGAGCAGACGTGATGTTTTGTTCTGAAATGTCAAGGTTGATTTGAGGTTAGTTTACCACCCTGATACATACTGGGATGGTGACTATAGTGGCCCAGTTCTTCAAGTTAAGAGTGATGTACTGCATAATGAAAGAACATGAACCAAACTGTTGAACACAAGTATTCAAATAGGTTAATGATAAGATGTTAATGTGTGCAGACTTAAACAAAAAGGGGTGTGTGGATGCTAAAGACCAGGGTCATAAAATCCTCATTTCCCACCTATGTCAGTGTAGATCTTCTCATAATTCTCCATTTCCCGAAGGTTCATGTCGTATACCATTAAAGTCTTCCCCATGGAGAATTCACACTGGGCCAGTGTGCCCAACATCCTCTGGTACTGCGTGAACCTGAGAAGAGAGGCGCCTTGTGAATCACTTTAACATTCCTGGTGACAAAGTCCAGGTCTCATGTAACTACTAACGTACCCTTCCTCAGGGGTCCCAGGCGAGTTGCACCATTTAGTGAAACTCTTGAGCAGCAAGTTGATTTTGCGGTCATCTCCAGCCCCGTCTCCGTCAATAAGAAGACGTTTTCGAATAACTTCATCTGAAAGTCGGGAAACAAACAACCTTTCAGATATAGCAGAATGCTAACTGTTAGCTAGCTAACATGGCTGCTCTTCTGTAAACAGGCTGCTTAAAGTGGTAATATTACCGTCTAGGGTGTGTAACTGAGTGTATATAGATCCAACAGTAGCTTCGGCACACATTTATACCAATTTATTTTACAAGTGAGTTGAAATGAATTAGTTGCAAAGTAGCTTACCATCTGTAACAGCTCCCATTTCTATAGGTATTATAACTTTATTGAACCGCCGGAAGTGAACAAAACACGTGACGTACCTCTAAGCACAGACGTCGGTGATTGGCTGAAGAAGCGAGCTGAGTCTGTTTTCAAAGTTGACGTTTTTTTAAAGAGCTTTATTGAACAAAATATTGTGACAACTATGCCAAAATGTGTATTCAAGAAATTATCATAATTAAATAATAATTTGATGTAAGTTTTAGGAAACTTTTTACTTTTTCATAAAATGAGCAAGAAGGCTTGTCACGTGTTTCTTTGTCGTGAAGAATAGAAAGGCATAAATCACAGTTTGAAGAACTTCGTCCCCTTATTTAGTTATGCAATAAACATTTAACTTTAAACGTATGTTATAGATAACAGATGTATCATTATGAGAGTGTTTAGGGACAAGCCTCTCAAGATTAAAGTTGTGAATAGTTACGTTTACCCCCCTCCATTTTCCTTTATTCAGAAAGTTGGCCTTCAAGTAATATACATACAACCTGACAGCTTTCTACTTTTTGTAGAAAGTAAAGTTTTAAGCTATAACAACACTTACATTCCAATGTTATAAGTTCTGATTGAATTTGAAATAAAAAACTGGACTATAATTACAAATGTTCCAATAAAAATAAAGCAAAACGTCTGTGATGTTCATTTGTGTTTCAGCCCCTGCTACACGTCAAAACGTTTTATTTAAAGGAAAAAAAAGTGAATCAACTAAAGCAGGGGTGGGCAACTGGCGGCCCGGGGGGCCACATCACATGCGGCCCCCATCCACCCTCAACGTGGCCCTCGTGTCAATTTTTACATATCAATTAATTGGAAACATGAAGAAAAACATGACAAAATCTGCCATGAAATCATGAAAACCAGAAATATGTCCATAATAATATTTGATCACTGGTATGTGTTGAGTTAAATTTGAGACATTATTGACTGTAATCGTTTTTGTATCCTACAATTTGACCCCCTGGCAGTGAGAATTAAATGAATGTGGCCCTTGCAGTGACCAAAGTTGCCCATCCCTGAACTAAAGTAATAAATATAATGTAAAACATGTAGGAGATGCTTTCTCTGACAGGGCAACACCCACGGCAATAAACTCTTCTACGTAGTCCTACTTCTTTGTTTACATTTAACATGAAATGCATGCAGTACAGGGCTCGTCAGAACACTTCCCCCAGCTTATGTTTTTGCCATTGTATTTGAGTGAAGACAACAGACCAAAAATATCCTGATTATGGAGAAGCTGCTTTAAGTCATTAGAGGGTGCGTGCGTCCTGGCGCAGTGACGTCTCTTGTCCCAGAATGCAGTCTGGTAAACAGACATGGAAGCACCAGGTGAAGACCTCCACAGAGGCTGAGCACTGCACTCGCTCTTTCCCATCGTCTTCTGTCTCTTTTGCCCGGTGCATCCATTTGATTTGTATCTGCCTGGTGTCACGTCTTCGTCTACAGAAGCCAGAGCCTGGGTAAGAGTGAAGTTTTTGTCGATCCGTGACGACTGCTAATGACTTCTGCTGTGCTGTCAGGCTTCTGCCAGCTTCTTCGCTAACGCTAGTCATGGCTGGCTACAGACTTCAGCTAGCTGGCTAATGTAGCCTCCACTGCTCTCTAGTAACGTTTGTACCAGTCACAGACCAACACTGTATGAAGCCAGTTTTCACGACACAACACCTGGTACACGCGTTGTCCTGTACGCCACATTTACCCTGTTAACTTTTACTTTTCTTTTCTTGGTTTTGAAGAAAAAAAAAAGTAAATGAACGTCAGTGTGGTTAGTGTTTGGTAGAGGTGGGAGCATCGCTTGCCTGTTGGTCTCAGTTGGCTAATGTAGGCAAGCTAACTGAGTTACAATATAATATAATATAATATAATATAATGTAATATAATGTAATATAATAGAATTACTTTATTGATCCCAAACTGGGAAATTGTGGCGTTACAGCAGCAGGTTATCAAACACACAATATGAGTAAGAAACACAATATTAACAAATCTAAACACTATATAATATTAAATACAAAGTAAATAACTACTAAATATATCAAAAAGAAGAATGTGAATATATACAACCAGGATTTAACTAAGCATTACTAGTCTTAAATATGAAAGATTAAATATGGATGATTGAATGTAAATGTGCAAAAACAGAGTAGTAAATGGACAGTATTGACATAAGTTAAAGTGCAGGAGTGTAGACATATAATAAGCAGAAACTATACAATATAAATAAATTAAAAAGTAAATTTAACATGTGCAGAACAGATTACAGTATGGAGAGACAGATATTATCATGATGACAGTTCTCTGCTCGCATGAGGTGAGCTGTTGTACAGAGTTATGGCCTTCGGTAAGAAAGATTTCTTGTGTCTGTCCTTGTGACAGCGGAATTCCATAAAGTTGTCACCTACTCAATGGAAACTTTCTATTTTCTGTAGAAATTACAAAATTATAATATGCCAATCGCCGCCTTTGATATTCCACCTTTGGAGAACCCAAACCTATATGAATATAGCCTAAACTACGAGCTTGTTACCTATGTTTGTTGAAGTACCACACCTCATTTACTGTATACAGTTGTATTAGAGCTGGATGCCTTTTTTTGACTCTCAGTAGAATCTTATCATATAATTTTATATCTGTACATCATTTTGTTGTCCAAATAGTTGGTTACCGGAATCTCTGAGTAACTTTATATACACGCTGATTGAACAAATGGCCAGAGTCTATTGCATTAAATATCAGTCGATTGTTTTATCTGATAATGCATGTGCTTGCCAATTTATGATAATGATAGATATATTAGAACAGACCAAATATTCTAACATATCCCTTTTCATCCAAAAGTGGATGTCCTGTGCACACAGCACTGTCGGTCCTTATATCTTGGTGCAGGTGATGGAAGGAAACATCAGCTTGACAGAACATTATTTAATTCAACGACACAAGAGGGTGGAAATAGTTGTGCCTTTTCACGTTAACATGATTGTGACATGGAATTCAACTGCATCACATTGTGTTAATGATAAGGTGAATGATATGCAGGCCACAACCGAGGCATTATCTGTATCTACAATATGAGAGTACAGCACAGCCACCATTCAATCGTGGCCCTGAAACCCCTCTGACCCCCTTTAGATCTTTAATATGCAATGGGCTCCTGGTTTTTGAAATGTATATGATGCTTGTTGTTTACTCAGACAGTGCAGTTGTTGGGTACTTTAATGATGACAAATTCTTGACAACAACAAACAATGTAGCTGTTGATAAAACTTTTGAAAAGTGTCTCTTAGGGTGCCTAAAGGGATCATGTTAGTAATACTGCAGGAAAATGAATGGGAAGAACATGATGTTCACTGTTTCTGCAAGTGCTTTACGACGTAGAGAAGTATTTTTCTGAAGTACAGAAACAAATCAGACCTTTTCAGAGCTGAACTACACTTTCATTATGATTACTTTTCTAAATTCAATAATTGCATTTCATTTTCTAATTTCATAGATTCTGCATAGTGTATCCAATAAGTAATGGCTTCATTGTCCTCAGGTTTTCAGATGCCAGGACCTTTTTACTGTGCATCCTTGCTTAGTCCTGGGTCTTACTTAATCACCAACACAGCCATCATAAGTTTTTTTTTTCATTATACCTGAGCTATATTTTCTTTATTTTAGACGACCTATAATTTATTTCTTGAATCAGTTTAGACAACAATGTTAAAATGTTATGGTCTTGGTCGTATATACGCATTAGTGAGTTTGATGACGACAAAGCTTTGACGGTTTTCCTTTCCTGGTTAATTATTAGGTATCCATATTTTCAATTTACCTCTATCAAGAAATTGCAGAAAAAAAGAAGTAGATTCTAACGTGACTTCCCTCAATGTGTGTGTGACCTTGTGTTTGCCTCCAGACTTCCGCTCCGGTGTGATTGTGTGTGGCTGTCAGCGATCACCGAAACTGATGAGGATTGGCTGATTGAGTTACAAAAAAGTTCCCTTTTTTTCTTATTTTGCTAAGGTAAGCGACTCATTACTCTACACTCAGTTTATCATTTCTGTTTTCTGTAGCTGTAAAAATCATTTATGGTCATGGATAGTTGTATAGAGCGCACTGATGTTACATATTGAAATAATTAGAAACATACAGAGTTCCATCGTGTATCAATTTGAACATCTCAGCAACAGACCACCCTCATTTCCCAAAGAGACATTCTATTGACTCTGAGGTTGAACTGTGTACTAACTTTGCATTTTCTTTAAGTTAATCACATATAAAAAAGAAAAAACTAGTTATAATTGATTTAAGAAACCATATGTTAAATACACCATTGACATGTATTTATTATGTATAGAGACTTTAATTTATCATCATTGCACAGAAAAGACACCTGTCATTATTAATTTTACTGTAGTATACATTTAGTTTCTTTAGAATTGGATGTAGCACAATCCATCACAGCAGTCCTACAAAAAAAAAGTCTATTTTAATGTCCAATATTTATTGATGCTTAAGTTTTGCTGGGTGTCTCTTTGGGAATTTACTATTAGTATATGGTTAGTACTGGTGCTGTGTTGGGTTGCATATTTGGCAGATAAGGTGTATGTTTTGTTAGACCATAAAGTGCAACATTATTTTCAGTGGAACATTATGCCTCACAGTGTCACCACATCAGAAACCTTCATCAGGTTCAAATGTAATCTTTTTTTTCTGATCATTCAACTTTCATCTTTAGTAGAAATGTTTCAATATCATCCCTTGTCTCACACACGTTCTGTTACCAACACTTGAGTCTCTGTCAATACTAAGGGCGCACTCACACTGGGCAATCCATGCCCAAGCACGCTTCACCCCTAAAGTCCAGTTCGTTTGACTAGTGCGAGTGCTCCGATACGTGCTCAAGCTCGGTACACTTCCTTGGCACGCTTCGAAGAGGTGTGCTATGGCACGGTACACTTCATGCATGAACACAAGCACACGGGTACACAATGTGTCAGTCTTTAGTATGGAGAAGAGTGTTCTGTCTGTATCTGACTAAAATGACTCAAAATATGCTACAAAGTCAGTAAAGTAGCTGTTTTGTTCTCCGTGTTGTTCTCACTCCCTTTTTTTTTTTTTTTTTTTTTTTATCGAGCCTGTCTTGTAAACTAAGCACACGTCATAGCTATGTAAAGACATGCGTTGTATAGAACATTGTGTACAAGAGGTAACCGTGCTCAGGCCCAGTTAGTCCTGAAGCATTGTGAATGAAGGCCAGTGGGGGAATGGGGAGGGGGGGACCATCGTGTTTAAGCACGGTATCGGACAACTTGGCTAGTGTGAGTGCGCCCTAAGTATCCCTCCAATACAGTGCTCAAAAAAATTAACATAATATTCATGAAAAAACCCTTACTAACATTTTTCTTACTGTACACTCTGCTTGCACTTCACTGTTAACTGTTTGTTATTGCTGCTAATAATTGACCTGAAACAAGCTATTTTTAGGGGGCTTATTGGTTTGTAATTTTAAACTGGTGCAAATACACAATTCTGAACTTTAGACAGTATCAGATGCAGAAATTAATACTGGTGTTGGCATTGGAAAAAGATTTATTAAGAAACTAGAAACAGTGATGTAATGTGTAAAAACATGTTTTTATAAACTCTTGTTCCACTTGTGTTAACAATGTTGCTTCTTATTATCCCATACAATCCCTCTCAAATAAAACCCCAGCTGGAATACAGAGATTAGAGTGCAAGTGTGCTATTGGGGTTTATGGTAAGAGTGGGTTTGTATCGAGGCATCAGTATTTGATATATGAAATGAAATAAAATGACAAGGCTAGGCTACTATCTGTAAGAAACTTAGACCAAATATTGGTATCCTGCGGCTCTTATAATGTGTGGCAGTGACTGACTTGTAAAAATTATTAATCCAAGTGAATAATCAACTTCTATGCATGCCTATTTAAAAAAATAACCTACTTTTTTTTAATTTCCTTTTTTGTCAGAATAGGAGGTCTTTTTGTGTTGGGCTTGACTCTTTGAAAAACTTAGATGTGTATTCTTATTTAACCAGGGAATGTTTCGATTTGTACAATCCTTGTAGATGGAAACGTTGCCGTGTTTAAATCGAATTCCTCATTGGCAGCTGAACGGTGTGCAGACCTTTCTCTCTGTTTTTCTGCAGTTTGTACATGTCTTGTCCTGCACCTGCATGCAATTTGCCTAGATGTGTGAACACTATAGTTTTCTCTTTTTTTACTGTTGTGTTTACCAGAAATACGTACTGTAGATGAACCCTTTCAGTTGAATCCCCTTGTTTATTGTGTGTGTCACCAGCTGCTGGATGAGTGACTGTAATATAAACTTTATTTATTTGTATTTTCAGGACATTGGAAACTGGAAATTTCTGTTAACAATGCAAAAGAAAGGATCATGAGTCAATCAATGTCTTTGTTTAGTTTAATTCTACTTGCAAGTAGAAGGAACAAAGCTTCAGAGTGTCAATACAGTCTGAAGGAAAGCTCCAAGTAATCACAATATGTTTGGGTTTATATACACATGCTTCACAGAAAAACCTTCATGCCTATATAAGGATTGCAGATTCAGGCGCAGTCAAATATCAAATACATTTTGTCATACATTTGGCCATACATTTCAACACGTCGCACAACAGTAATGTCAAGGAAACTTCAAGTCTGAGTATCTTTGATATTTAGCTATTTGTGAGAAACCTTCATCCTTGGGTAAAGACAGAACAAGAATATTACGTATTAAGTTATTGTAGCATTTCTCAAGTGAGCTGTAAGTAAAATGTGTCCTCGACAGTAAACAGAATTTTTCCATTACACACTTTATATCAGAAAACAACACAGGAAGCTGCTTAAACTGTCTTTGTTTTTTCTGTCAAACTGACACATGGCTGTGTCTAAGAATTTTTGATGAGTTATTATGGATAAAAAAAATACCTGCAAATAATCTATCAATTTATCTATTGTTTAGAATCAGGGGGAAAGCACAAGATGAAGTCTAGCTATGTTTTTGACATAATCAGTATTAAATAAAAACTCTGCAGGAATAATTAGGATCAAAACTAAATATTGTTTGGCAAGACAAAACAAGGAGCTACTTTTTCTTTTCGTTGCTTCCCTTTTGTCAGCTGAATAAGTAAACCATCTGAATGGATCACAAACATTTCATTTTGAAAGTGAAAGTAAAGACATCTACTGTCCACAACAGTCTTTAAAGTCTGAAAAGTATAGATAAGTGTTTCATTATTTGGTATGTTTAATGATAGTTGTGAAAGCTTTGTAGATGGTCTTTAGAAGGCCAAACAATAGTTGCATGTCCATCATAGATCAAATCAGATTATAATTAGACCATTTTCTTTGACATTATGTGTGAGGCTTCACATGAAATTAAATATATGCTGGTAAACACAATATATATAAAATGATCACACTTACTTCATTGGTAAGTATTTATTGATAAATACGCTATATCATAGAAATGTTATGTTGCACATCCTTCCAGCAGTGTGTTGTTTCGTGTCAACATTTCCTCAATTGGATTCAAGAAAACGTGCAAAATATTTTGATCTTGCTTCCTTGCAAAAATAAGAACATTGAACCTCGTTTCTGTAGTGAAAGCTGTGACTAAGTAACATACAGTGCTGTAGGGCCAATATTCAGATTTAACAGTACAGGGCTACTTTCCACTTTAAGTTACACTACACCATATTGTATATGTATTATGCTTCATTTCGAATATAAATTATAAAAAAATGTGCACAAATTTGTGTAAAAAAAACAACAACAGAGCATGCACTTATCGGGCCCCTAAACCTTCAGAGAAAGTGCCTCTCAGTGCGTCCTATGACATGTTATTCAAGCTTCGTACTTGTTGCTCGTCAATGAGGCCACACACGCTGATGTTTTCTTTTTTCTTTTTTTTTTTTAGGGCGGGTACGGTGAATTAACACTCGTTTGCCGTGTCAATCAGTAAAAAGTCCTCCTATCCCGAGCGCGACCAACGCTGACTCTTGTGTTGTTACATTGTAGCGGAAAGAATGTCGGAAAGGGCCGAGGATGACGTCAGGGGGGAGCAGCGCCGAGCGGCCAGGCAGCAGCTGAAGCAGCAGCAGATCCAGCGGGGAGAAGGCTCCACAGCAATGGCGACTGTTGTGGAGCGGAGATCATTACCTAGTCCAGAAATAATGCTGGGACAGCCTTGGAGCAACTGGGTCGACGCCGCTAAACTCCACGGCAACGACGGTGAGTTCCCCAGCGTCCCGAATGTACGCGAGGTAGCGATGTAGGACGCGGCAGTTGCCAGTCTTGTCCCTTTTTTGGCCGATTGCATGCAGTTTTTGGTGTAATATGAAGAAACGCTACTGGTAGCAACAGCACGGGTAGGCAAGCAAGTGCAACTATTTATTTCTCTGTGTCGGATCGCCTCGTTTCAGGTGCTGAATTGGAAGAAAGTTTCAAAGACTACGGGAAAAATCGAGAAGCCATGCGTTTGTGCAGAGAAGGTGAGTGTTATTTATTTTACTGTAGGGCCAAAGGTGTATTTTGTTTCTGGAGGTTTGCTCACGCACATTGATTCAAACACTTAACACGCGTCGTTCACTAACTTAAACCTACTGTAAATCTTGCGCATTATGACTTGACTGGATTACCGGATATTAAAGTTAAAAACGTGTCTGTTATTCGTGTGGTTGCTGACCCTAACATCTGCATCTCAAAAAGACTTCACAGTTAACAACTTACACTCGCCTTAGTCGATTATGGGCCTAAAATAGAAATAACAATGTTCAAAGGCTTTTTGAATAATTCATTAAATTAGTCTAATTGTTTAGTTTTCACATCGCTGCCTTTTCAAATAGGAAACCTTTACCCTATTTCATGTGCCTCTTTATTTTAATAGAAAAGTAGTTTGAGGGAACTTACATATTTTGAGGTTCTACTCATTTTAAAGTCACTTTGAAGAAAAACCTGCCAAATAGACAAAAAAAACGGATCTACAATTTTAAAAAGAAAGAAAGAGGTGAATGGTATGTTTTGCAAAAGCTCCTAAGTAATAGTTTACTTAAAGTAATGTGAAGTTAGGATATTGATTGCTCCATTTTCACACACTGCTTCAACACAAACATGGCTAACAGAAATGTTCGCCAAAATGCTAAATTTAAGTTAATTAGAACTTGCCCGCCAACCAATATGTAATATTAATTTCTGATTTATTCAGACCTGACCTTCTCCACCCAAAAATGTTATCATGTGATAACGTCAAATAAATAAGACTACTCTTATAACAAAACAATATGATAAGGTGAATATGTGCCCGCTTGTATCTGTGGTAGCAGGTTATGACAGGATTTCTCATCGAAGCTGAACAAAGTTGTAAATTCACAAATAGTGTTTTTTAGGCTGATTATTGTAATGGCAGAGACAGGAAAGGTTCTGACATCATATATTAAAGACACATAGCACTATTTCAGAGCAGTTTGTGCCTCAAATTTATTTTTGGAAAACAACTCGTTTGGTGTTGGCTGACTTAGACTGGGCCCACCACAAAGGTTAATAGTGACAACCATGAAATTGCATTTGATTATGTTACTAATCTACCATCGTGGCAATCTTTGAAGCTCACCAACCACACGTTTCTTAAAAGGAAAAAGTCAATTGCATTTCAGGGTGACATCAACAACACCTTTTTTCATTGTTTACAAAAAATGTTTTTATTTTTTGCTCAAAGGAACACATGTGCAGGGCAGATGAAATGTGACCTTGCTAATTTGGGATGGTGATCACAGCTGCTTGGACTTCCAAGATTAACACAAAGATGCATCTTTAAAAAACAAAAAAACACAGTTTCAGAAATATCTATAAAAAGGTACTAAATGTATTTCCTGTCAAGAAGATATATTTGTGACTATTTTTCAGAATTAAAAAAAAAAACGAATTTAGAGAAATAAAAACAAACAATCCTCCTCAGACAGTCAACACCACAGCCAAAAACAATGTGATCACTGATTTGTGTGTGTGCATTTGGAGGTTGTCATATTTCCTTCTAATTCATGCTAACGTGTGATGTCTTTGCAGAAAGCCTTGTCTGCCAGAAGTTATATCTCAATGAGTACATTTACATGCTCCTTATGTTGGTTTTGGTCTCATTCAGGTTAAGATATTTACAATGTTTACAAGGAACTGGAGAAACATGTGCTTCCCTTGCATTCATGATTATGACAGTATCTATGTTTTGTGTGTGTGTGCAGTTGTGTCATGAGTTCTCACCATCTCAGTCACGGTTGTCTTTACCAACTCTGCATTTGAAGAAACCCAGGTCAGGTGTTTACATACCCTGGTGTCCTGGTTTCTGTGCAAGTATTTCAGGTAGCACATTCAGGTTTCTCAAAATCTGGATAAAGGCTTATCTAGGTTTGTGAGAGGATGTTTACACACACAACACGAAACTGGGATATTTGAAAACTCCAATCATGAACTGGATGCAAATGCATTTCACTTTACTCAAATCAGTCTGGCCCACAGTTATTGTCTTCAATCAGTTCCCAGTTGTACTTTCTATTTCCTCTCCCTGTGCACCTGTAAAGGAAAGTGTTAATTACAGTTCTCTTGACAGGGGACTCACTAATGTGTCATTTCCTTTAGTGTGTACATACCTTAATTGAAATGGCACCGTGCCATCAGAAAATGTCCAAAACACTTGATTGACAGAAAAGCAGGGCGGTCTAATATCGTACAGCATATTGAAAATGGTATGTGATTATTACACTAGGTCAAACACCCCACTCAGGTAATGTTTGACCTGGATAAATGTCTGCTTTGTGCGACGGAAAGGCTATCAATGTGGATTAAAATATTCTATCTCCATATCAAGAATATCTTTCAGAACAAAGCTGGGAGACAGATTGGCCACCTAAAATTCAAGGCTGTGAAGTCACTTGACATGTCACTGGGCTTAAAACATATCCCCGTCATGTAGCTGTATCAGTCAGTGACTGTTGTGTTTGTCATGAGGCTGATCAACACAGGTTGCTCGAGGCAGAAGTGCGTGTCCGTAGAGCACTATTCTCTATATGTGTATGGGTGTGTGTGTGTGTTGAGTAGGGGTATTACAAGTGGATGACTACACCTCTCCACCATGACTCACCACCAGATTCCTCCTGTAGTGAAGCTGTCATTCTAACACACGGACGATTAACACATTGCAAAGAAGATGCATGGCAATAAATGACTGATGAAGTCATTTTTCATCTGCCTTCACTCTTTGTAATTTTAAAGCTTGCCCATCACAGATGGGGAAGCTGGGAAATGTTGTGCCCGTGTCAGCCACAGGTCAGATTCAGCTAGCATGTGTGTGCTGTGCGAAGGCAGCCAGAGCTGCTACTATTCCACCTAGATCATTCATCACTGCCACAGATGAGGATGCAGAAATTAACTGGACTCTCGTTCTCTTCCACTGTCTCACGCTCACAGGCTCTCTTTCTCCCCCGCCGATGCAGGTCCTCCGCTCACTCTCTCTTTGTCTTACTGAGGCCTCAGCCTCCTCCTCTGCTCTCCTTATGTCTGTGTTTTTTTTTCAGTCAGACTCCTTTCTTAGCTTTGATCTGTTCATCTGTCCCTTCTTCTTTCTCCTCCAACATTACTTCCTTTCTGCTTCTATCCTTTTTATCTCCTCTTTCCTTAAGAAGAAAACAGTGTTTGAAAAATGGGCAGGCACACTGGCATTAGACCTCTTTTCAAGCAAGGCTATTTTAGCAGTACAGTTCAGTTGGTGCCAGTGATTTAATGCAGGATGGTAATGGCGATCTAGCAGGGTTGCTTTCATAGTCGAGCGAGTAATCTGGAGAACCCTTTAAGTGAACGGCAGCAGCAGTTTGAGAATGCGTCCATTTGACCTTGCTGTTACTTAAATTTGCTTGGCCTGTTGGATTGGACTGTTCTTGGCCTGTTTTTTAGAAAGGACCGTAGAGAGGTTGGTGGTTAAATGGAAAATGCATGTGGTGTTACTACCTATGTTAACATTGGCACAAATAATCAGATTAAAAGTCTTATCAGAATTGAAATGCTTCATGTAAACGCGTCAAGCGGGAGAAAATGATCCGATCCCGCTCATTCGAAAATAAATTCCATTTTCCGAACAAGAGGGATGGTTTGTGCCGATTGTTGTTCGGATCAATCTCCATGTACACGCTTGCTAAACTAAAACTATTCTTACTGCGCATGTCTGCCCCTCCCTTCAACTATGCCTACGTCTGAAGTTCCTGCAGACTTACACTCTTCGCCTGTTAATTGATAACAGGGCAATTATATACTGCTGAGCTCGCAGCTTAATTAGGAAGAGAAGTAAGTAAAAGTAAGAAAATTGTCAGATATTCTTATTCTGATGAAATGTTTAATGCGTACACACGTCATTATCGGATCACTGTATTTAGCGTCCATGTAAACAGTGAAGATGGAATCCCCAATCGGAATAATTTTATTCTGATTGTAGAAGTTTTGTGCATGTAAACATAGCTACTGTTCAAGTGAATACGTTACAACTTGCTATGTACAGGACAGTGTATCAAAGATGGTATTGGATAAAAATCAGAGGTGAAAAAATGTAGAGGTGAAAATGAACTTTGAAGCCTGCTTCCAATGACTGCTTGAATTGCTTACTCTTATGCAGAGAGCATCCAGTGAGTACTTCTATGTCACATTTCTGAGCTTGCCCTGTTTTTTTACTAAGTAGTCAGGCCCTTGCTTTTGTACATCAGCAGTGTGCTTCCCTACTCGGGCTCTATGTAGTTTACACCCTTTGTACATGTAGTCAAGACGTTTACCTTTTCTCTTTGCCAGACTTGTGAAAATCCAATCCTTCTGCTCGAATGCTGCTGAAGGAGACACTTAGCTGAGTCTCTTCAGACAATTGATGCACATTAAGTAGCATCAGGCTTGTCACTTCATCTCCACATCAGAATGCCACTGACCTGCCAGGTAGCCCTTTATCTTATGCAGTCTTTGCTTGATGGCCCTCATCCCTTCCAGACTTGGCCCGTGATGTTTGGAGAACCCTTGACGGCCCTGGTGGAGAACACATTGGATAAGGGTTCCACTTCTCTCCTCTTGTGTGCTGTCTTCTGCGCATCTCATCATAACGCCCCAGGCAGTCTCTTAATTAGCCTACTTAATTAGGTGGTTTCTTGGTTTATGCGCCAGGGTAAATTTTGATCACATTCTGGTGAGAAGCGGCACTTCCCTCTGATTTGCCTCAGAGTGGTTTGTAGAGGGTTAGGCTTGGTTAATATTATCAGCTGTAGGCATGTTATTTAAACACTTCATGCTTCTTGTGATTGTGAGACTCAAAGTTTCACTGCCTTACTGGCATAACTGGCAAAGTCCCATCTTTGCTTTCCCCCTCAAAAGAAAGAACCATTGAGTGTTTCTCCATTGAAGAAATAAGCACTGCACTATTGCATCAGAAGTGTTTGAGGTAAACCTGTGTTGTCAATCTTTTAATAGTATACATTACGTGTTCTAATCAAAAGCTGACTTCTTGATAGACAGTTTGTAATGAGTGCTGAGTGAAAAAGAAAAAATACTGGATGGCATATTTCAAATTGTTTATTGTTTACCTCTTTAATACATCTAGACCAGCTTTAATAAAACTGAATTTAAATGTTTTGTTTGGAAGGCTTCAAGTAGGGATGCACAATATATTGTTTCAGTATCAAGATTGCCATGTCTGCATTTGCAATGGCCACATTGCCACTGCGGTGTGAGCCGCGATGCGAATTTAATGAAACATGTCGCTTGATTGAAAAAAACAGCAACTTGTAAGGTGCAAGTGTTTCCAAAATATAAACGATACTGAGTGGGTCACCCAGGAAGGTTTATTCTCTGGTGGGCCCACTGCCCAACAGACCTGTAGTATTGCTTAATATGTAAATTATGTAACCTGAAACTTGCACTCTTATCCTAAGAATAGTTTTTATTTTATATTTAGTTTAGGATGATCGTTGAAGATCGCTGCAATACGCTTATCAACAACAAGCCTTCACACATCCATTACTTGTTTTGATAATGGAATATCAAGGGAAACGTTTCAAAGCGGCAGTAATGTTACTTTGAACAGCTTTATAAAATGTTCTGCAGATTAATGAAAGAGCAGAAGCACACAAAAGAATGAACCTACCGAATGAGGCACAGCTGGACAAGAGACGAGGGGTGCGTGTGTGTGTTTAATTAAGTGAATGGAAGAGGAGCATGTTAAAGTCCTTTGTGACACACTAAAATAGGTGTAACAATAAAGTACAATTAATATTATTACACTATAACCTAACCCACTCCACTGCCTGGGTACAGTGTCTTTCTGATTATATATGAATTTACATTTTCACCAGAAAACACAGCAAACTGTCTGCAGTGCAATGAGAGTCTGTATCAGCTGCCCGTAACATAAACAACATACTACTGCCACAGATCATTCCCCCTTTTATGCTAGTGACATGCACTCACTTTGGCACAGTGAGGCTGAGTGAGTGTATTCCGATTGTTATCAAAGGAATCTCAACTCAATTGGAATCTTTCTCTGAAGTCACAGGATGACTGTTCATCAAGTGGATGTTTCTCAGAACTAACCCTTTCAGAGGCTACACCTGCACATAAGACAGAGAGACATGTGAGTCCACAGGCAGCACATGACAATGAGCAGAAAGTCTCTGTCACAAAGTTGGTTCAGGAATGCCGATTCAGTATACATTCGAACATTGTTAGAAATGCAAGATGATGTGTTGTAAACAGCAAAACTGTGAGGACAAACAAGTCAAACATGTTCTAAAATATCGCTCCACCTGTTCTCTCTCTACTGGTCCATGTCAGTGACAGAGTGGTTTGTCGAGGGCTGAAATAGATTTTTAAAGTGGCACAAATATATAACTTAGCATGGTTAATTGTGCATATTTACTTGAGGTGGAAGTTGCAGAGTAATAAATGAATAAATTTAAGACGGGATACGTGGCCCATGATAATGAGACATAAAGGTGTCTGATTATCTGAAGAAAATAAAATGCCCCTAAAAACAAAGTGTGGAATGAATGTGTTTATATACTGCATTATGGAGTCAGCTTCATCTTACCCCTAAACTTTTAACTTATTTTCACCGCTGTCTGACACAGAGTCATTAACGCCACCATGAAGACTCGTGAAGTGTTGATATGTTGGCAGGAAAATCAGTTTGGAGTGCCCTATTTTAAAGAAAATTAAAACATCTTTATTTTTGTCACTAGGGGTTTGATAATCGTATCACACAAGTTCCTTTAAGTCCAATTTCTTAATGCTTGCCTCGTGTGACTAACAGCCTATTTATTTATTTGTAAATAATAAACCAATAGGATGTTAGTCATTTATTTGTAAATAAATAAACCACCTATATGTTGTAAAGTCTCCAAACTAGAAGCAGTTTTTTTCCTTTATAAAATAACCTCAAAAGGTGATTAAAAATAAATGTATTTTCTTAATTAAACGCATCCCTGTTCTGTTTATTTCTTTCAATCTTGTATCATTGATTGACAGCCTTCACCTATTACCTGTCAGAAAAATGTTTCCTACAAGTTGTATGATGCAGTGACAAGTCAGTTTTGTAAAAAAAATAGGAGATTTTTTTAGGATCAGAATTAAAAGGAGCTTTGTTTACTCCGTATACTGTGGAGTTTTGATGTGGAGAAAATGTGGCATAAGAGATCCCAGAGGTTCAGATCTTTTTTTTGAAGCAAGATTGTCAACATCTGCACAAAAAAAATGGAAGTAGATAGACAGGAAACATAAAGGGAAAACCACTCCTAACATATAATTCCTTAGTGAGGGCTTTTTATCAATATGAAGTCATGAATTGTCCACTCAGTCAACAGACATCCTGTACATGCTGTGCTTGTTTACATCTTAGTATACATTATTTCTCTGACAGCAGGTAACCTTTGGATGGCTGGCTCGGCCCTTTTCCTTTTTCTTATCACTAGAAATGTTTCTCTGATGAATGCGAACTGAAACATGGGTGTGATATGTATTTGTGTTGCAGACTTTGCTAATTAGTCCTGAGTGAGCTTTCTTTTTTTCCTTTGATCAAGTTGTGATTTCACTTGTCTTTTGATGCGATGATTGACTGAAAAAAGCTCTATTTTATTTGCCTCTCCTTGACCTTGTGCCTTCTGTTGCTGGTTTCTCCCCTGTGTACAGACATGCCCATATTTGGCCAGTGTCCCGCACAGGACGACTTCTACCTAGTGATGTGCAGCCACTGCAGCCAGGTAGTCAAGCCCCAAGCCTTCCAAGCACACTATGGTAAGTGTCATACACATTGCATGCATATTTTCAGAGTTTTCTTTCATACAAACACAATTGCTGAGATTCTGTATTTTGTTGATAAATAAATCAAAGTACTGATGGACAGTAGACAGTAAAGCAATCATGGACTTAGTCTAAGTGACATCACTCACTGATGCAGTCTCAACCAAACTTTGGTCAACCTAGCAACAGTCAAAGAGGTGGAGCTGAAGCAGTCATATATGTCATGCCCCTAATTATGCATAAGTCTTATCCTTCAATAAGTGGATATTGTATAAAATAATCACCCCCTCTACAGTATTTCCCAACAAAGACATGAGCTATTCAGGCAAAAATCATTTGTTTTGTACCAGACTGTAGCCATGTTTATTTCTGCTGTCAAAATGGTCATTTGATCAGTGGGACTTTCAGGTCTTTTTGAGCAAGCCTCAAGTGGAGACTTAAGGAACTGCCTGTTTTTGCACTTCGCCATTGGCTTTATTTCACAACACCGGAGGTTGCTGCTTGAGATCAGTAAAGATGGAAGTAACACTTTTGTTTCCATTTGGAGAAACTGTATACCACTTCAAGGGTGGTGGGGATATTTTACACATTAACACACTCTGTGGTATTACTTCTTCCTGAATGTGTGCATGTGCATTCAGTGCTTGGATTTCCACCGCTCAGTAAATAGCGCAGGATCTTTGACTGTAGATGCTTAGGAATATGGATGAATTCTAAATCTGTGAATATAGTGATGGTATCACTGTGAGTCTTGTTCAACTAGTTCACAAACGCCCACAGTTGCTGAGAGAAAGAAACTGTCTGCTCACTCCCCAAATCATTTCCAGGAAATTATAAGAAAGGCTTCATACCGAAGTGACACCGACCTACCATGCCCCTGTCATGGAGCCTGTTTGACCATGGTGAGGTTTATATTAGTCCTACTAGTTGGGTTTAAGTGGTCAAGAATTGTTTCAGCTTGTTTACATGGACCCTTAGTGTTTCCCACAGAAAGCTTTACCTGTTGAGGTAGCACAAGGGGGATATGAGAAAGTTCATATTTCAAATGAGACGCCACAGCTCAATCAATGCATTGATATGAAGGATGTATGAGAACATCTCTCTTTCTCTCTCTCTAATCACATGCAGAGCGTGTGCCAGGTACTACAGTTTATCAGACACAAGACAGAGAGTGTGCCCTCTTATTGCATATGGCAATCTTATACAACTTGAAAAATTAAGAAGTTAAAATAGTTGGCAGATATATTTAGCCAGCTAGCCCAGGTATTGTCTATGTGTGGGGACACACTGTCTTACTTTCCAGCAGTTTTTGTCACATTGGACACTGAACATCAAGTTAGAAAACCCTGATAGTATTCTCTCTTAAAACGTTGGTCTTTTCGGTATAACAATTCATTTTGACCTTCAGTCTCTTAACGCTTCTTAAATGAGTGTATGAAGTTTGACAGCAGCACCAGTTGTCAAGGTCAGCCACAAGGGGAGATATAACAGCACATGGTTCATAGAGAAAGTGTTGTTTCTACTGTGTCAACACACTCAAAGAGAAGGACTGCTCCCACACTGTGAAACAACATAGACTGAAACAAGCCTGTCTAGGCCAGACTGTTGTTCTGAACTACACTTTTCCAACCTGCATTGGGAATTTGATTGAAAGGCAGACGATCATTGAAAGGTATTTTGGCACTTATGAAGTAAAACAGTATTGACAGTATCCCCTGTACATCCTGTACATGGTGGTGTTGTCAATACAGATGGTGCACAACGTTATAAATGGAGAATAAGCAGTCTTTTCAAGGAGCCATTTATTTCTTTAACTGCAATCAGTGGATTTATGTTATTGTGTGACCAAGCAGTCTGTCTAATACCTTTATTAGATTCATCAATCTACACAATTTTGGGTCTTTACTGATACTTTGCATTCACAGCTGCTCAATGCCAGTGTGATCAGATCACCACTGCCTTTCATTCTTGATGGTATGAATGCAGCTCTTGATAACCATATTGGTTCACTATTTATTGGATGCTAATGAATTCTAGTATAGATTCAATGCTAAATGTGCCTCCCTTGACCTCCCCTTTAAAAGGGCATATATTGACAACCCATTCATCTTTTAGTATATTTCACATAAGTCCCTGTGTGGTCAGATCTCTGTAGCTTGTAACTGAATCTGTGTGGTTTTAAGTTTCGTTTCTCTCCTGCAGAGGTGTGTCAAGCTGCAACTGAAACTCTTTCGCAACGAAAATGTTTCGACACCGTAATATGTAGGGACTTTTATTATGAAGGATTTATCGGAAATGAAATGTTTTAATCATTGAATTAATGGCGCTTTAGTGGAACTACGATGAGCAGAGATTTCATAAACACTGTCAGGAGTTTTAGTACCAACAGTCGCTCCTTTGACAACGAGGCAAAGGCACAACGCACTCTGTTTAATCATCTTGGACATTACACAAGCTAGTCATCAGTTTAAACACACCGTCAGCAGGTAGACCAGAAGTAATGGAGATGCAAATTCATTCCAGCACATCGCCAAGTTACAGCCCGCGACAGAAAGAGACACAGCAAACTTGGAGAGGGGAGAATACTGCACAAGTTTACCTGATTGCTGTGCCACAATTCACTTTCATTGTAAACACTGACACTCACTCTGACATGAGGAGGAGGCAGTGCCCTATGATCAGAGAGCATGTGAGACTGCTGGAAACACGTAGAATACCTGGAGACTTGATCTGAGATGTTGTCAGTCACAAATCACTATTTAACGCTACTTCTATTTACCCGACACTGTGGCTGGTCAGCATCCGTGTCGCCTCGTCTCTGCACTACAACCAATAGCATGAGTTTACACCCGGCAATGATTTTACTATTATGTTTAATATTTACAATGTAAATCACTTTGGTCAACCTTGGTTGTTTAAAATGTCTAACCCTAAAGTTGACTTGACTAATGACGGCATTACAAAAATCCATGTCGTGGCAAAATTTAAGACTGTTGCCAGTTTTGATACCAGTTTACAGTCCACCCCTAACAGACAGACATCCTTCCAATGCTCATGTACTAATTTGAAACGGAGGCAGGTGCTTCTAATATACTGGAAAAAAAGCTTGCTGCAACTTATTGAACCAAACTATTTTATTATTCTAACAGGTTTAAAAGAAGCCAACTGTAACATGAGCTGATCTTAACAGTACTGTTGGTACTGACCAATCAAGTACCATTACCAAAAAGTACCCGTTCCCCCTCCTTACTCCATGTAGCATCGACACAACTCATCATCACAGAGATGGTCTCAGTATGAGTTTATGCTGCTTCTTTGAGCTCATCCCTTCCCGTTAAATGTCCGTGTTCTCTCCGGCTGCAGCTGAACTCAGCAGGGTTGACACAGATCACTGTAGACTCTACAGCTACTTGCAAGGCTGTTGTTGGATGCATTCAATTTGAACTTGCACAATGTAGCACTGTGTGTGAAGAGCAAACTCACCTTTTTGGTGATGTTCCTTTAACTTTATAAAGTGAGAAAAATCTAATAACAGTGTATTTATACATTTTTCCAGAAGAAACATTTTATTATTGTTACACAAATAGTGTTCAGAGGCCATGCCATGCTACGGATTGAACAAGATGCTTGTGTCACACTTATTAGAATTTATTCTTCATCCCCATATCCAGGGATTCCCCTTAGCACTGAGCCAACTGTTTGACAGTGTGAAACAGGATATTAAGGCTCCTCCTATTACTTTTGTCTGTGTTGATTTTTTTTTTTCTCCTCCAAATTTTTCTTCACTTCTCTTTTATTAGTCTTCCACTGCCGCTGGTGTTGGCTCTCCTTTGTCAGTGTTAGTTCTGTTTGTGTCATGCTGGGGTTTCCTGGTGTGAGTGTGTGTGCAGGGTGTGCTGTCGACTGTGACTGGGACAGAACGAGGCTGCAGAGAACGGAGAGAAGGAGGGAGGGGAAGAAAAAGTAGCCGAAGTGAAGGAGTGTGCCATGAATGGGTGTGTAGAGAGGCCCTTGGGTGAGAAGAGAGCAGGATTTCCTTGGAAAAGGGGGAATAGAGGGGAGGGCTGTTCAATTTGAAACTGTGTGTTTCTGTGTGTGTTGGGGTTTGAAACAGACTGGGGACGACAGCTCTGTGTGTGTGTGTTTGTGCGCGCGTGTTGTATCCCTCCACTGTTTCTGCAGCAACATGCTTGTTTGCAGATCACCTGCTGAGCCTGAGCTTTGGCCTGCAGCCTAGTTCCCCTGCTACACCATGGAGTTAGCCCGCTAAAGGATTAGATTTTTTTTAAATCAAAACCTGTTAGTGCTCCTGAAGCTAAATACTCTTACATTCACTTAACATTTAAGAAGAAGATAACATAAACCTTTTTCGGTGTGAATCTCTCCCTTACAAAATGATTTGATTCGATTCGATTGAGGCTACGAAACGATTCAGGGACGATTCATTAAGGGGGCGGTCGCACTGGCAATCCGTACCGTGCCCAAGCACGCTTCAACCCTAAAGTCCAGTTCGTTTGGCCAGTGTGACCGCTCCGTATCGTGTTCAGGCACGGTACACTTCCTTGGCTTTGGCACACTTCATGTACGAGCACAAGCACGCGGGTACACAACGCTGACAGCCTTCATTATGGAGAAATCCAGAGTTTCGTGGCTGTATCTGACTAAAATGAGTCAATATAAGCCACAAAGTAGCTGTCATGTTCTCTTTCTTGTTCTCCGATGTGCGGCCGCGCGTCTCTTTTATTTTTTAATTTATTTATTGCTGTGTCTGATTAAAATGACTTAAAATAAGAGGCAAGTGTGGCTAGTTTGTTGACTGAGCACGCTTCATAATAACATATAGCATGCATGTGCTGTATTACGACGTTATGTACAAGAGGTAATCGTGCTTAGGCTCAGTTAGTCCTGGAAAACTTCTTCTTCTTGATGAGAGATGACAGCTTTGCCATCATGCTCTTGTCTTCAACCCCCTCCACAGGGTCAAGGGGGCAGCCCAGAACAGATCTTAAACAAGTTTGTTCAGTCTGTTCCTATCTGCAGCTGTGATGCTGCTGCTCCAGCTGATCACTCTGTAAAGCATGGCGGATGCCACCACAGCGTGATAAAGGTCCTTAGGAGTGCTCCCTGCATTCTGTATCACACGAGTGTCCTCTGCTCTGGCCTGTTTCATATAGTGCGTTAATGATAGTGAATGATGAGGTCCTGTCCAGTTTATTGTTCAGGTGAACACCAAGGTATTTCTAAGTGTCCACTATCTTAATAATCACTCCCTGGATGTTCACCAGTGTGAGAGGAGATCAGTGCCTGCCAAAATCCACCATCAGTTCTTTGGTTTTACCCAGACGATGTCAGAGACATCAGAGAACTTCTGCAGGTGACGGTTTGTTGTGTTGAAGAGGAAGGGAGGAGGAGGGTTGTTGGTTGTGTTTTCCTCCTCATTATTTTGCTTCCTCAGTCTTGACAACAAGAGGGTCAAGTTGACAACAGACGACAGCCCCCTCTTTTTCTGTGTCTCTGGCTCTCTCTCTCACTCCACTTATGGTCACAGTTTGTGTGAACCCTTTTGTGACCCTGGAGGCAGAGTATATCTGTTTGGGAGCCAAGTTTCTAGTCTTTGGTGCGAGTCGGAGTAAACTTGAAATGCCTTAATGAGATTGCTGGCCTACTTTCTTCCTTCTGTAGTTTTTGTTGTGGCAAACGATTAATCATGGACTCAATGATAAGAGTCAGTGTTGTGCTGAAATGAGCCTACATTAGAGTTGTCACGATTCCAGTACTATGAACCTTTGTATACTAGTTAAAATCAAATAATATGAATCCCTGTTTTGATACCAAGGCAACAAAATGTCCTAACTGAACATTAGTAAGGGTCCCTTAAGACATACCACATAAAATATAACATATACTGAAATTAAAACATACCTCTGAATTACCATTAATAATCCAGAAGAAGTGTGTGTAGTGATTCTGCTCTCTTTATTTTCTCATTGAGGCCTCAGTGTTTGTGCAGGGGTGTGAAACTCACAATTAAAGTCTGCAGGTTGGGACTTTAGAAAAAAGGGACCAGGCAACATTGCTTTTTCTGTCTGTCTGTCTACTGTTCTGTGTCAGAAACTAACATTAAAATGTGCATTTAACTGAGACGTCTTTGCCGACCTGTGAATACAACAGTCAGTGTGGTATGGCTGTGAATGGGGGCGGAGCAAAGAGACGGACGCAGCAGGCAGGAAGGAGAGCAACTTCAGCAGCAATCAAACAAAATCCTTCACGCTTGGGCTAAGGTGTAGATGAGTTTCTGAAGATCTTTAGAGCGTAGCCCCTGTGAGACAGTCAGAAAATATCTGTACCTGCCTTTTGTTTGTAACTACTGGCGCTCACTCTCTCTACTTGATCACCCACTGCTAGGATGTTTCTCACGCTCCTCTTTGGGTTGACAATAAGACTTTATATCTGTTTTTTCTTTCATAACTTTGGTACTTTTCTGTACTATAAAGCATAAAGGACCCACCACCAACTCCATGAAAAACTAAGACCTAAAATGTCCGATATTTTTCAACCAATCAGATTTCTTCAATACAAAACTGTGCAGATTGGACCTCAGACGGTGCAAAACATGTAATAGAACATCAACAGAACAACAGCCACCCACTGGAAACTGCTCCACGACCCAGACCCACCAGTTGAGAACCGATGGTTCAAAGCACATGGTATAGCAGAAGTAGCGAAAATGTAACAACCTTAGCCTTCCTTCAGACTAGATGTAGAAACGTCAATGGGAATAAAATGCGTGTGCTATTTCATCATTGTTTGCTTCAATTAAAATAAAGTAATGGGAGCTTCCTTTGACAGGCTGTAAACGTCTCTTGTTATTTTGGGTGCACACTCAAGAGATCAATGTCTGATGATGCTTGGAAAGCTTGGGGTACTGTTTTCCAGAGGGGAAGATATTCAGTTTTTGATGCATGCACTGAGTGATGAGCAGTTTTTTTTTTCCTCCTTCTATTTTTGTCTTTCCATCCAAAACTCAGTATCAGCCTAACCTTTCCTGCTGTCATACTGCCTTTTATCAGTTTGCACAGTAGCTGTTGTAAGAAGCTCAGAAAATAAAGCTCTTGACCTGTTGCCTGGATCTATTTCAGGATGAGCTGGCATGAATCACAAATGATGCTTATTTGTTGTCGAGGAAACCTTCACACTTTCTGTTAGAGAAGATTTTCTTGCTACTAATTCTCTCGCCTTTTCTCCCAATTTGCGGCCCAATGTTTGTCCCTTTACCCACATAGAAAAGTCTGTCTGATGTGCTTTGTTTTATGTTTGTAATGCTGCACATCAAAAGATCTGAGTTATGTTTTAATGCCAGCTTGGTTTGTTCTGTTGCTGCAGAGAGAAGACACAGTTCTGCCAGCAAACCAGCCTCCACCTCGCCCTTTCCCGTGTCGGGCAGGAGCAGGAGCAGTGGAAGCGGCATCGGGCCCGGGTTGGGCTCGGGGTCTGTAGCAGGAGTGGCCAGTGCGAACATCCTTGGCCGACCTTCCACCGCTGGATCCAATTTATGCTCCTCTACAATGTCGTCGTCCTCCTCCAATCCCAAACTCCCAAAACCAGCCAAAGACAAGCTGCCAGGCATTCAGCGAAGACCTCCCATTCCACCCTTCAGGATGCTACCGCCAGACAAGATGTAAGTATATTTGAGCAGCGTTGGCAGTTATATGGGTTGCCAAGTTTGTGAAATATTCTAGAATATACTAAGGCTAAATCTGAACAATTAATCGTTTTTATATCAGAGCAGCAATTGAAAAAGTTAAGACACAACAGGGAAATGTTAAATCAGGCTTTTTAACATCTCTCTTGCTGTATTGACAACTTCTACTTGTAACAGATTTAATTTAATTTAACGGAGCATTGGGTAAGCAACGCAAGACAAAATCTTAGTTCTTGCTCAGAGTGTGTGCCTGAAACAATACTGCTACAAAGATTGACCTGTCAATAATGAAAGCTTAACTGGAGTTTGAGACAAAGCGTTCAGCTAACTCAAGAAGAGAAGAGGTATTACTCTGTTAACACTCCGTCCTGTCACAGACTCATCCTTCTTTCATAATAATCTTAGGCTTCGAGTCTTTGACTCACCACATGACAAACTGCCAAGTGACTGTCAAGTTGTTGCTTTTTTTTCCAGACACTTGATTTGTCTCACGTGGCTAAACCATGCACAGGTTAATTCTCAGGTTTTCTTTGTAATATAAAATAGTGTATAATCTGAGATCATAGATAGCCCCCACGTATGTATATCAACTGCACATTATTTGAGAAATTATTCCTACTCAACAATCAAAATGAGTATTTTAACATTGGTTGTTTGACAAACATGAACTCTAATATGTCAAATATCTAATCTAAATGTAACTTCATTGTGATACCATACCAGGTGTGACAACATCTGTTTATTAGTGTGTTCTGCTCTACAGTTGTACAAATGGGCCAGTCTTTTATTTAGTGTCTAAATTGTGTTGATATTTAACTGTTTAAAAGCCACTTTGTATCTAACAAGGCTTCCACATTGGGAATGTGATTTTCTGGCCAGCATGCATTTTGATAACCACCTGGAAGTTGCGTGTGATAACAATTGGAAGCTTAACATTAGTACCTTAATCCAGCAGTCTACTGTAGTCTGAAAATGTTAATTTACTCATATTACACAAAGTGAGTTTGACGTTGCCATGCTTGCTCCCAGACCTGAAGACATAATCCCAAAACAAAGCTTCAGTTTGTTTGTTTTGACTCACACAGCAGGTGAGCTGCAAGTGCAGCCTCTACAACGTACTGTACAGAGACACACACTTTGCAAACTATTGACATACTTGTATGTGATAATTTCTTTTTGATAATATTGATGTACTGAAGTGGGTCACTCAGATGCTGGAATTGGCATGATCCTCTGTTTGACATTATAGACCAGTGGTTTAGAACCTTTCTTCTTTGGGGTCCCTCCTTCTTGTATTCCAGGGCACACTCACTAGGCAATCCGTACAGTGCCCAAACATTTTGACCCTATAAGTCCAATTTGTTTGACTAGTGAGCACACTTAATGTACGGTAAACTTCCTTGGTCCTAGCACGGCTGGAAGAGGTGGGCTTCAGCACTGTACAGTTGCTCATGCACGAGCACAAGCATGGGAACGCAACGTGAACATGGCATACACATATCCCCATCATGCATAGTCAGGAAATCCAGGATTGTAAGAGGTTGATATGACCAAAAAGACTCTAAGTAAGCCACAAAGTCAGTAAAGTTGCAGTCATGTGTTCTGTTGTTCTCCATCGTTAGAGACAATTCTGTGCTGCTATCATACAATCTATGGCCGTTGAATGACTTCCACTTCAGTGATGATCAGATTTTGAAGCTTTTAAAAAATTCTGCAAACTGAAAATATTCCGTTGCACTCCGGCAGCACGACACATACTGTTAAGACGTATTTACAGAGGTAACAGTGCCTAAGTTGATATCTGCTTATCTAATTTTGACAACCTCAGAACAGACAAAGTCTGGCTACCTTAGGGGGTCCCAGAGCCCAGGTTGAGAACCAATGTTGTAGACTGTTGTAGTTTGATTTTTGAAGCAACAAATTTAAGAGTGACGGTTGGCATATTTGTGTATGAGTGAAGATATACATTTCATGATAAGCAGAGGAGCACAAGAACTTGAATGCAGCATCGCAAGACAACGTTTTTCTGCAGATACCAAATGTGCTGCAGGTTTCAATTTAAACCTCGACACAATCTCGTCTATGGGGTTCTGTGATTTTTGAGTTGTTGACAAATGATGTATCATATTAGATTTGTGTTTTGTCCCTCCAGACCCATCCATACGTGCACATCTGTCTCTTACCATGCATTTCTCACTGGCTCCGTGTTTCTAACGCTCAGCTTCCTCCTTGCTGCCCTCTTCATCTCTGTAACCTTCTCTTCCAGCCTCACTCCGGCTGTCAAGGTGGAGAAGATGCATCTGAGGGTGGACTCGTCAGCTAAGCTGGTGCAGGCCACATCTGCCCCCGCCACCACTTCATCCTCCTCTACATCCTCCTCTAGCACCACTGTGAGCTCCAACACTACCACCATCACAACCTCCTCCTCATCATCAGCCCTTAAAACAGGCCTTAACTGTCCCTCCATACCAAAGCCTCCATTACTGGCCCCAAGTCAGATTCCCAACGGCAAGGGCCACCTCTCAGTCCTCTCAGACAAGAAGCAGGACATCAGCAGCAGTGCCAGTAGCAGACGCCACATTAACAAGAAAGTTACAGGTCAGTTGGAGGAAGGTTATCACCATGACAGATTTGTGTTGTCATTATCTCCTTAAGGTTGCTGACTTTGACTTAAAATGTATAGGATCGTGTTTTATTGAACATGACTTGCAGTATAGCAAGTTACCAGGGGAGGGGGTTTGTCACAATGTGCATACATAATAAGTTCTTCCCTCATACTTCTCTTCTGTATTTTCAGAGCGAGAGTTCAATGCAGATATCCACTGTGGGGTTGTGGATATTACAGCTCGGAAACCATGCACAAGATCCCTAACATGCAAGGTAACCAAACACTGCTTTATTCTGGGTTTTATGGATGTTAATCATTAACAAAGTAAGGCTTGTAAAGTCATACAGTTTCACCTAAAATAAAACCTTTTGTTTCTACTCCCATGTGTAAGGAGCCATAGAGTTAGTTCAACTAATGTGAACATTATCTCTCTGAGTCAGGTTTGAATGAGAAGTGAGAATATTGCCTGCAGTTGTTGCTGATATTCTCTCGTGTTGCCTTTTTTTTTAAAGATTTATTTTTGGGCTTTTGTGCCTTTATTGGAGAGATAGGACAGTGGATAGAGATTGAAATCAGGGAGAGAGAGAGTGGGGATTGACATGCGGGAAAGGAGCCACAGGTGGGAATCGAACCTGGGCTGCCCACTTGGAGGACTAAAGCCTTCATACATGGGGTGCGCACACTAACCCCTGCGCCACCAGCAGCCCAGTGGGTGTTGCCTTTTAATAGAATAGATGGTGGCCTAAAAGAACTCTCTAGTTTCAAAACCATTTATTGAACAACCAAAATTGCATTACAAAATATTAAGGAAGAATACGATACATCTCTCAGAGATGTAGCTTAATTCAGCCTTATTTATATGAGCAACAATAGACCTCAAAAAATGCAGCGAAACAAGGTAGAGGCTGCAGCTGCTTTTCCACAATGCATCCTGGTTAATATGGCACTGCCAGCACAGCTTCCCAAACAACAGATCTCAACTTTCTAGGTCAGTGTGAATTTATTGTAAAACCTGATTAGACATTTACACCAAATCCTGCTAAAATTCCCATTTAATAATTTGTGCCTTTACAAAATTCTTCTCTTTAAAGGAAGCATCCTGATCTGGAGCATTGTTATCCTCTCTTGTGGAGATGAGCAAGCTAGGTGTACTAGCTTCACTTGGAAAATTTGATACAAGTGTAACTTTTCCTTATTTTAGCTCAGTTTAAACCAGATTTACTTTCAACGGGATTAATATCCGCTGTCATTGGCAACTCTTGATCGGCCCGAGAAGCTTTGGTCTCCCTGCGTTATAAAAGAGGAGGATCTAGCTAATATTAGGGGTCTCTTTATCTCTGGTTCAGTTGAAGAGATAGAAATTCTGAAACTCAGAGCAAATGATTATTAACTCATCACTCAATGAGTTAGGAGTAGTTGCAGAGCAGTAATTTTCAGTGCAGTGCAAAAAAACAGAATGTAACGTCTGCAATCCAGCCTGTTCACTTTTATTCTAATTGTTGGAATTGGATTTATACGGGCAACAATTTTTATACCCACCTCCCACACAGATATTCCAATGATTCAATTAGCAGCACTAAAATTGTATCCTTTATCATCAAACTAATCCAGGATCAATAAAGATACTTTTATTTATTTAGGATAAACTAACTCCATTATTATATTTGACTTTGAACACAGGTAAATAAGAAGGCCTGTTTTTAGTTTTAGATGTACAGACTGAACTTATATGTGGAATAGAGTGATTCACTGGTGGTACTGGGCTTTTGTTAAATTGTTGACAACAATAATCATGCAGCATCACAACAAGGGTTGCAATTATTTGTTGCAAAAATATTTGTCATATCCCCAAAATGATTTGACACATGTCAAAATAAAAAGGACATCATTTGCTTGAATCCAAATTGGACCCCAATTCCACACGCTCATTCTGACCTTTGATTTTCCCTGTACCCCTCCAGACACATTCCTTAAGCCAGCGGAGGGCAGTGCCAGGGCGGAGGAAGCGCTTTGACACGCTGCTGGCCGAGCACAAGAACAGAACGAGGGAGCGGGAGAGGGAGAGAGAACTCCAACAACCCCATTCCCAGCAAAACCTCTCTCTCAGGGACCCACACCCCACCTCCCACCTTGCCGCTGCCCATGATGTCCACCAGGTTGCTCATGGCAACGGCCCTGCCCCAGACACCACTAAGCCTTCGCCACTCAGCAAACCCAAATTTCACAGCCCTGGTCTTCCTCGGTACGTCCTGGGCCAGAACGTCATACTTTCTTTTTTTTAATTGTTTTTTAGTAATAGTTAAATCACATCACTGAAATTAACGACACTACAAATTGCCTGTTTGTTTGTTTATTTGGATCCCCATTGGTTTTAGCATAGCGAGAATCTATTCTTCCTGGGGTCCGCAAACTAACTGTTGACTCTCACACTTGTCCATCAGACTAAACAGTAGTCACGGAGGTGGTACCCCTGGAGACCCTGCTGTAGTCCAAGAGTCACCTCACCATCCCCAAAGTACCCCTGATGGTTTTTCCCGACCCTCCAGTGACGAAGGAGAGAACGAGGAACGGGAGGACAACGCTGACAAACTGGACTGTCACTATTCAGGTTATCACCCTCGGCCGGCAGCTGTAAGTGCACTCTAACATCACTTTTTTTTTACATTTACTGTGCAGGATTGGATGTGTTCATCTGTTACATTTTTTTCTGACTTCATCTTGCCAGTTTTCAGAAATTATAAACCCTGTATTCCTTATCTCATTGATTAGCTGTACACATCATAATTGAAAATATGGTAATCTGTTTGCTTTTTCTGTCCCAAGTACTGCACATTTGGAAGTCGACTATTTGGCAGAGGCTGTTACTCCTTTGACCGGCGGTGGGACAGAGTGCGATGTACCCTAACCACAATGACGGACAAGCATGTCAACTCTCAGATGTGGAAGTAAGTTTTTCCGGTCCACACTTCATATTGACCAGTGTTATCTATAATTACTTTTTGTGTTTTGTTAGGCAGCTGTGTTGGCTGATTAACAGATTAAAGCTCATGAATAATATTTATCTTTATTGCAGGAAAATCCCGTTGGCCTTGGAGAACTCCTCCTCCGTTGCATCTACGCATAGGACAAGCACAAATTCCCATGGTAGCACTCCCTCTTCAGGCTTCCTGGCCCCCCCTGCGACCCTGTCCCAGACTCCTTATAGCCAATCCTACGAGGGTAAATCCATGCTCTCCTATGGGACCACCTTGAATGCCCGCAGCTCCCCTCAGGGCGGGGCTGAGCACCCGGCCTACGGCATAACGCAGGCCCGACAAGTGTCTTCGTTGCCGCAGATGCCTTCAGTCCACTCGTCGTCATCCTCTTCAGCTCCTTCCCTAGCCTCAGGCCGGGCACTCAAGTCTCGCTCCTCCAGCAGCAGCACTACCAAGTCGTCATCGTCCTTCAAGCCAAAAGAGGTCACCTCTGGCTCTTCCACCCCTGTCATCCCCAACTCCACTGGTGGGGGTAACAGCGGAGCCAATAGTAACAGTAGCAGCACTAGCTTCAGCTCGGGGAAGAAAAGAAAGAACAGTTCTATTCTGTCTTCATCCCACGGCCCCCCTGATTCCTCGTCTTCTAATGCCAACTCTTCTTTCTCCTCCTCGTCTTTTAAGAAGAACTGTGCAAATGTCGGCAGCTCAGGGAGCACTTACCACCATGGCTCATTAGGTCCTACATCCTCATCGTCGTTATGCTCCTCCCACAGTGGAGTCCACAGTGTGGGGCTGAATTGTGGCCCCACCGTGCGGACCAACTCACTCAGCCTCAAAGCCGAGCCCTCTGGAGGGTCAGCAGGCGGCTCCTCAGGACCGTCAGCCAGGGGTCCTCCATCAGGCAGCCCTGCGGAGTCCATTAAGCGTATGAGTGTGGTGATGAACAGCAGCGACTCCACACTTTCCCTAGGGCCCTTCATTCACCACCAGTCCTCATCTGACCACCACACCAGCTTCAGCCACCACCCCTCAGACGGGCGCTTGGAAGGAAAAAAGCGCAAAAGCTCTCCTGCATCCACTGGCATTACTAGTGGAGGTGTAGGAGGAGGGGGGCCGGGGATGGGACCAGGAGCGGGAACAGGTAGACCCAAAGTGGCCAAGTCACCTGCCATTAACAACATCCATGGGAAGCATGGGCGGAGCATTTCAGGGACGCCAGGGCTACCCAACAACTCCCATTTACATCAGGTGGGTTCAGTACTGAGCCATTCAGCATGCTCTTTCATTACGAGGAGATAAATCAAGTTAAAACCTTTGCTAGTCTAAGTGAGCAACTTTTGGTTTTATGAACATTAATCAGTAAAACCCCATAATTGTTCAAATTCATAAAGAGATAAAAAAAAAAAAAAAAAAAAACCTGTTCATTACGGCTTCTCAGTGTCGAGAATTATTCCGCTTTCCTTCTTTTAGCCCTGTCGCCGACGACAGATTTACACAGTCGAATCTGTTCCCGAAGATTTTGCATATAGTCGACTGATAGAAGATTTGTTTTTGTTTTTTGCGCTCATTGATCCATATTCTCATTTTAGTTTAACCACATCATTAAACAATTTGTCTTCTAGACTTGGAACAACAGTTTATGCTATGATAGGACTTGATCCGTCCCTTTTCTCACTCATTCAGTCTGCACTAATGTGACGTTTCTAACAATATTACACATGGCCAATACAGCAGGCCCACATACTGAAGGCCCCGTGTGAACCCTCGAGCATTTTACTATATGAGCTCACCCGTATCTTATTATATTTTAACTGGAAAAGCATACCTTTTGGGTTTGCCAACAACTTTAGGATTTCACTTTAGGCTCTGACAACTTGTGATGAGACTTTGTCTTTGCTTATTTTTCACCTCTCATAGACTTCTTATAAACATTTGTTCATTAAAGTCACATTTTCTCTTTGAGGGAAACTTGAAGCATGATGAGCACCATTGAAATCGTGTGTTACCTTTACTGACTGTAAGCCGAATTTATCAACTGCCATACAGACAGATTATTTAACCTTTGTTTTTTTATCCTTCCTGTTTCTCAGCCAAAGGCTCGTCCCTGACAGTGGTGTCCGGCTTCTGGGTATAGAAGCGGTAGGCGGACAGGGAATAGTCCGGAGCAGCCCACTAACTGCTCCTGACTGCACGAGGCCTTCTTAAGTCAAACCCACATTACTCTCAGCTTCCCACAATCCTCAGGGTGGAGATGATCTGGACTGCCCAGTGAAGTCAATGTGGTCCTTACTATTTCTCCCAAAGCCATGTGTGTGTATGTGTGAGTGTGTGTGTTTGTGTAAGAGAGGGGAAGTGGTACCGTTTGGGGAATGCGTGGAGTGCCAGGGGTTCTAATGAGCTTGTCAAGGACCCCCCCATGCAAGTGTCACCCCTGTTCTCTGAGAGGTCTTCCGGTCTGGTTCGAGGAAGGAGGAACATTAGCAACAGCAATGGGTCTCTTGCTCATTGGGTTCAGGTTAAGGGCTGCAGCAACAAGCCGTCACAACTCTGAGCAACTAGGAAGGCAACATGCTGATCTCCTCTGCATTTGTAAGAATGACTGTGTGAATGTGTGTGCGTGTTAAAGTATTTTCGTCATGTCAAATTCTGCTGGACTACTGGAATTTCCGACTTAATTACACCCCCAGCGCCTGATCTCAGAAGCCTTGGATTGGATTGCAGGAGGAGCAGCAAACTGTTACTTTCAACACCTTAAACAACACACAATCACCTTGTTGTTTCACTTTCTTTTGGTTCAACTCTCTGGTGACATGTTGAGAAACCTCGGGTCACACGCAGGAGCCTCAGAGAAGCCCCTTAGGACGATCTGGTCTGGTTTTATTATCCAGAATAATTATGCAAGTGTTACCTTTATATGATTTCTTATGAGCTTTTTACACTGAACTACAAAGAGTCTTTGTAGGCGTGGTGGAGAGAGTTGAGCTTTCAAATGTGAATAGGACGCCTGATGTGCCCATTCGATTGAATCTTTTGTCAGCTTGGTCTTTAGGACACCTGTTAATTTTCTGAATCTTTCCATTGTGCAAAATGACAGCAACAGTAGACCTACCCTCAACTGTGAACAGCACTAAAGAACTACTTTCTCCACAGGCACTGCTCAGTTGTCTTCAGAGCTAGCCAACAGCTGCTACCAGCTTTGCCAACTACTTTCTTTTTTTTTTTTTCAACTAAAAGGTGGGCATCATGCTCATGAAGCGGTGATGTTGCATTGCCTGTGTGGATATGAAGAAAAATCTGTGCAAACCGTATTATTAGCCACAAATGACCTACTTTTTACCCCGCACAGCTGTATGAACGCGCACAGCAGCTGTGGGCAGATGTGAATTGTAATTTTTTTTTTTTTTCCTACGTAGGGAATCAGGTATGGTACGTCTTAACTGGAGCAAACTTTATGCACGTCACCTGTCTTCTGTGGTTTCGATTGTCCCTCCTGTGTGTAACCACTACCCCAGCTCTGGATGTTAAAACGTTGGATGCCTCACCAAAACACTAAGTTATGTGTGTGTGTGTTCAGAAAACATTTGTTGCAGAACATGGCCAGGCATTTTTACTCTATTCCTTTGTCAAAATGGAGTCTTAAATCAGGCAATACTTGCCCATCTCACTGGGACGTTTGCTTCTTTTGAGAGGTCTTGTGTGGGTTTTATGGTGCAAGATTCATAGAGATGGCTTCACGGGACATATTTCAACTTTTGGCAACAACGTTTTCTGTATGAAAGCTTCACTGATGTCAGATAGTAAGAAGTGGAGTTGATTTTTTTTTTTTTTAAAGCATCATTTAGCTTATATCTTCTAGCCTATGTATCAAACACGTATTGAAGTCTCCCTATTTGAGAATACATATTTTGTTAACAATTGTACATAGAGAAATATGTATTTTTGCAAAGGCATTTTTCGTACAAGCTGAATATTTGGTACAGATTTTAAAAAAGTCATTATTTATTTAGTAAAAGGAAAAAGAAAAAAAAGATGGAAAGTCAAGAGTGGTTCACTGCCAAGTCTATATAATGCAATACACCGATATGTAGAAGGTGAAGCGTCTCATGAATCGTGTACTGAAAACCTTTAGAGGAAAAAGTGTTGCCACTGTAGCATGTGTCGGTCTGACAAAGGAAACCTTTATTCACGTTTCAAGGTCTCAATCACATGTGCTTTTACAAGACGTTTTATGTTGCCTCTGAATCAACACAACAAAAAGCTACATTATGACCCAATATAGTCTGTGATTTAGAAATGTCCTGTAGGCTTGAAGCTGCTCTTTGTCTAGCTAGTTTCCATGGGACTCCTCAGTCACACACTTTGGAAACCTGAATCTCATTTCATGATTGAAACATTTGTGTTCTATAGAAATGTAGAAGGGGCTTCAGCAATCATTGCAAATAAGAGGAACACTTCAAACAGTCCGCCTGTTTGTGTTATTGTTGCCAAACATACAATTTGAATCACAGCTTTGAAAAGAAATATCAAATTAAGAAAGTGCCTAAATTAGTTTCACCCTGACTGTTTGAGGACAGTATTCTTTGGGTTGTTTTACCTTACTTGAATGTTCAATGTGTTTAGGAGTTTGCTTTTAAATCTGCCTATGAACCCTAAATGTGGTAAAAACCTGAGCTTGTCAGCTGCCCGTTATGAAAGACTTTAGTATTGTGTGTTTTTTTCTTCATTTGGGTTGGGGGGGGGGGGGGGGAGACGGGGGGGGTTATCCAAGTTTTCCAGACAAGACGTCAAGATCTATTGTCAGCCTCAGTGTATGGCCTAAGGCCTCCCCTGGTTTACTGGGATATTTGTACACAACATAAACTTCAATCAAGTGTTTTTGTTTACCCTCAAACTCAACGGATATCCTGCAACCGTTTCATGTGAACAGAAACCTTGTGAGGATGTTTGAATGATTAGCACCATAGACTTGGAATGTGAAAGAAAGAATACAGCTCGTGTTTGGGAGGAAAACAGAAATCCACCATTCATACTATGTACAAGTGTGTATAGGTTTCTTTTGTATCCATTATCAGAATCATTTTCAGCTGGACTTATGTATTGGCTGCTATGTAATTCATGAACAAAACATAGGTTAGAATTAATATTTAAAGAAAAAAGATTGTATAGTATATTTGTTTTGTAACAAGTTTCTGTAAATAAAATAATTTATACTGCTATTTATATGAAATGACGTGTCGGCCTTGTTCCTTCAATAAACAGTCGAGAGAAACGGCATCCAAACAGTTAAACAAATTTTATTATATACACATTAGAAGAGTTGCTTTATCAGACAAACTACAGGATCAGGTATACCAAGAACTAAGATGAAAGACCCGTTGCTGTGACGAGAAAACATGGCCGCAGTCGTTACATGTTGATAACTCTTGACAGCTTCTGGACTCTATTGAGCAGCAAGTCGCCCTTCTTGATGGTTTCCTGGTACTGCCAGTTTTTGCTGTCAGGTCTGAAAAGAAAAACAGGAAGATGTTTATCATCCTGCCTGGGATTAATGACTCATTTTTGGAAGTATTGAGCAGTGATATTACCTATTTGTTTCCACTATCTCATTCACTTTGTCAATTTTACAGTGGAGACGGCCGGCAGCTATGAATCTGGACAGTTCCCTGAGGAAGGAAAGGAGATTTTGATCAGTAAAGCACAAAAAAACTAAACAATGCTCTTAAGCTTAAAGCCTATTCTTTGTACACTTACAAATAAACTGTAAATGGGAGGGAGTTAGAGGTTTAATACCACTAGTGTTTAAGTTCTCAAATATTAATAAAGTCAAAATTTAAGCACCCTAAAATGTTGACACTAATGATCCCAGGAAGCTTTATTTAAAATAATAGTTTTACAGTGAGTCAGTGATTGTAATGTGTTTGAGGAGAGAAGCGGGCATGCTGGGAACTATTCAGGTCATCTCTAACTATTTGTTAAACCTGTTATTTTGTATGTTTTGCTCTCAGCGAGTCCCTCATACTTTATCAAGAACAGATGTTGATTTTCAGCCTAATTGATGAAATAAGTGCTGAAACAACACTGATCCAACATGTATCTTTATCTGACAGAAGGTTGTACATGAGGAAAAAGGTTCAACTACTGTCGATGATTAATTTCTGATGTCACCAGGGTGTTTAATATGAACACGAGTCTGCTGGCACTTACTGGTCGATGAACTCTGTGCTGACACCAAAGGCCTCGGCCATGTAGCCCAGGGTGAGCGAGCGGTAGGACTCTAGCAGCTGGCTGTAGGCCTGGATCCTCATCTCCCTCACATAGTAGCGGTAGTGTGGCGCAAAGAGCCAGTCCTTCTTCATCTCCTGCTCCACTGTGGCTGTGGCAAACAAAACAAGTCTCACATTTGTTATTGAACTACATACAAGTTCGTAGAAAAAGAGTTTGTGCCTATTTTTCTTTTTGCCGTCAACAATAGAACATTTTCCTCACCCAGAGACTGGAAGAAGACAGAGTAACGGCACTCATACAGCGAGAACAGATACTGGCGGACAGATGGCAGACTGTGAAGCACCTCCAAGATCTCTGCTCCTTTTATTACCTGAAGAACAACACATAACATTAGAGCAATACTGCACACTTCAACAGGTTTCCACACTCATAACCTTAATAACGATAGATCACAAATCTTGTACATGAACAGTATAAAGTTAAATGTGACGTTCTCTTTGGAGTCTACCTTTTCACGGAGGTCAGGCCTTTTGAGGGCGATCATACAGACGTAGACGGTGTAGGTGACAAAAGTCTTGTAGTCCATGAGCTCATAAGAAGTGAAGGTGGACACTGTGTCGAGGAAGAGCTCAGCAGCTTGTTTGAAATCCCTGATGGCCACACAGTACAGGCCCTGGTACACCTTAAGACGATTCCTCCGGTCCCAGTCTCCCCCCCTCCTCAATGAGGCTGTGGACACAGAGCGGTGGATGAGTGCTGAACAGATTGCTGACTTTGTGGATGGAGATTGGAGACCGTTCAAAACAAGGAATTTGTACCTTTTCGCTTTCTCTGAGTTGCGTGTGATGAGGTCACTGTCCATGTAGAAGAGGCCGATCCTCAACAGGTAGAAGACAATATCTAGTCTGTGACCCAGAGCCACCGTCTTGTCATAAGTCTTCCTGAAGGCTGTCAGGGCGCCCTCCTGTGGTCACAACAAACAATTTCTTTTTATCTTCCATTGTTGAATTTTTAGGTGGTCAGCTAGCCAGAGCAGTACATGTCATTATGTCAATCTTGCCAAAGATTTAAAAAAAAAAAAAGGTCTACATAAACAGCATCTAAAGTGATATAAGTAAGTTAAACAATACTTTTTTTTTGTTTTTAGGTTTATTGGACTTTTGATGCCTTTATTTAGAAACTGATGTCTCGCTTGAAGAACTATAGCCTCTGTACAAAAAGGAGGCTAATCACTATGCTAAAATGAGACTGATGTTCACTCCCATCAAAGAATTCTCCAGAATTTGAAGTGGAAAAATCTCAGTAGGTAAGATTGTTTTATAAATTAGATTTTTTCAAGAATCATTTGATGTTGGCAATTGACAGTTTATACCAACACAAGTGTAAAATGTAACTGAAATTAACAAAAGAAGGAAACAAATGTACCCAAGAAATATGAATATAACCAACGTGTCACATTTAATTTTCTACAGGTGATTATTTATCATGGGTACTGGCGCACAAATACATGCACGTACATGTGCATATTTACACTTAGACATATACGGTACTGTGAGATTCCGAGTTCCCTTTTCCATACCTTTGACTTCTTAAAGTTCATATTTGAACATTTTATAAGATCTTGAGATTGAGTTTTTTTGCCACCTTTTTGTTATTTGTTTCAGAGCTAAGGTTTGTTTTTTTAATGAATTTGAAAGTTCCCTTTGATAAACTTAAAAACCTCTATTCATGCGATCTGTTAAAGGCAGAATATTCAATTTTTCACACTTAAATATAATATAAATCAAGTATATCCTCTGAAAATAACTCTGTGAGTCATGGGTGTAACACCCGAGTCCCACTGTCTGTGATGTTTTCAGAGTCCTATCTTCAGTTTGTTTACATTGCCAGGACGGCCGGCTGGCTCATCCCCTCTCGTATAAAAGTTGTTTAATTGAGGGACTAGTACATACTGTACTCACTGCTTAATTGAAGGTCACATAAGCGTTTCTAGATCACGCTCATTTCAGGTAAATTTACATGCAGTGTGAAGATACGAGTAAAATGAAGAGCGCTAGCATTAGCATGCTAACACAACAATGTAGCGCAAGTTGTTTTGGTTTCATGCTGGTGCTCAAGGGCGACATCTGCTGGATCAAAGAATCGCATATTCTACCTTTAAAGTAAATACTGTCACCCAAGTTTCTCCAGCGCTGAAAGCTTGCACCTCCTTTAATTTCAGGTGTCTTTTTCCGTTATGTTCACAGTGTTTGTGATAAAATAGTTATGTAGTTTATTCTACCTAACATTACTGAACTAAAGGACAGGAATGAGCTTATTTCTTTAGCTTCACGTCATTAAGTATTTTATCTGTGCAGCATAGAAATACTTACTGAGACCTGGTAATGCCAACCCCTCACTGGATTTCAGTTCCTTCAAGTTTTTTTATCACCCTTGGTTTTTTGTCATCCTGTATTCATTTTCTAAGAGTGTTATCCCAATCCTTCAAGTTTTGGCTTTATACAAAGGTGGTACACTTTGGAACAGAAACAAGAATCTTGGTGAAAGCGTTGTCATTTTATTTTTTTAATTCACTCGAGAGTATAACTGGTGTCAATATCATTATTAAGCTATTTCTGTTTCCTTTTGATGTCTGTCTAATCCGTTCTTCATGAACCTATTTTAACAAACACTACAGCCGATTCAAGGTGGTATTGATTTTCTGTTTGTAACATTGACACGTTGCCAATGTTACAAACAGAAAAAACAGCACAGTAGTACATCAAACACCCAACCAGGGCCAACTTTAATTTTTACACTTTCGATTACATAATGCCATAAAAAAAAAAAGTCTGTTCAAGAGACTGGTGACTCTGGTTAATATTTAGGCTAAGTTACAACTATGCAGCTGTTACGATTGTATAGCCAAAGTTAACTGTAAATGTGTAATATTGTTAAGACTGACTAGTTACTAACAGTGCCGAGGCTCATTACATTTCTCAGGTTACATTTGTTTAATCTATACTTTTTTTTTACAATATTATAATTTAATTGTACCTTTGAGGTTGTTTAGAAAATGTAATTTATTCCCTTGATTTTTTTACAAGTCAGAATGTGCTGTAATCTTCATCAAACGCGCCTACAGGCCCCGGTGTTAGCTTAAAGTTATAACTTACTGTCCCTCTGCCCGATGATGTTAAATATCCTGGAACAATAAACCATATTAAGTACGCTATAGTAGTGATGTTACGTTTGACACCGAGGCTTGTGTCATTTTCAGAGAAGCGCGTCATCGATGACAAACGAGGCCTCACTTCGAGTAGAACTACGTCATTGATTTGTTTGTGTTTCGGGTTGTGGATAAAAGGAAGCGAAACCCACTTGTCATGTCTCCTTGTGAGTTTGCGTTAGTTGGTTGTTGAGAGTTGGAGTTTTGGTTCTATTTTTTTCGAGAAATGGAGCCTGCGAGAAAGAGGAAAACGTCTCCTGTTTGGGAGCATTTTGAGTTATCATCTCCCAATAAGGTAAACGTTAAAACAAAACATTTGTTTAGCGGTTCCAGGAACCGAACCGGAGCCTCTATGTGTAAGTGGCGCTGCCATCCATTATGCTACAAAGCTTTCATGTATTGCCATGCTGAAACGCTTCCATTAGTTGTTACTATTTCTGTCACTATCATCATTATCTCTGCTCATTATCGATGGCTTATTATTTTGATTTGAAGGTGAAGTGCTTGGTGTGCTTTAAGGATCTTTCTTTCAATCTTCCTTTTTTCCTGGACTTGTAGTTAACATTGGTCCTCAAACTTGTTGAACAATAGATTTATATATATATTGTTGTTTCATAAGCTTGATAGGAAATCATAAAAAAATAAGATCACCGAATGATAATATGATTATATTAACTAAGGTATGTTATAAAGTAATATCACGTGAATCATTATTGGTTGAAGTAGTACAATTTGCTATAACATGTCAGTAATGCAATGGCATGTGATGTGATCAATAATAATTTG